AAAAAAAAAAAAAAAGGTTGAAAGTCCATCATCTCAGTTTCCATTGAAAGACTAAAAGTGGAAGCAAATTTAAACACAAAGTAAAAGAAAATATATGATAAAGAGAAATTTTAAAATACAAAGCAGATACACAATAAAGAAAATCAACAAAGGCAAAGGTTGGTACTTTCGTATGGCTACTTTTACAAACAACAGAAAACTGAGAGAGTACACAAGAAAATTATATGTAGGCATTGGAGGGAGTGAAGTGAATGGAGCAGGGGTAGAGTGCCACCCTCTACTGTATTTTGTTTTGATTTTTGAGTCACTCAAAAAATTTTAGTATCCATCTAGTACTATTCTAAGCCATATTGGATCCTGAAGCAAAAAGAAACATATATGCCCCTATATACACTTATCAAAATATCTTCCCGTGATTTGAATCAGATTGGAAAAGTTAATAAAAGCTCCATAATTAAGAAAAAATGACTATAGAGGCACCTGGCTGGCTCAGTCAGTAGAGCATGTGATTCTTGATCTTGGGGTTGTGAGTTTGTGCCCCTTGCTGGGCATCAAGTTTACTTAAAAAATAAAAATATAGATAGATAGATAGATAGATAGATAGATAGATAGATAGATAGATAAAAATGACAAAAAAATGACAACCTGTACAGAGTGGGATGTGATGGCTTCATGGTCCAGGAACCATGAGCTGATTAGAAATAACTTCCAAATTCACAATAATCCTGGATTATAAAACAAGCAAACAACAATTTGTCTTATCTAAAAGTCTGATATTTTGTTTTTCATGGACTTTTTTGCATTAATTTTGATTTAGAAAATATTGCATTAAAACATTATTTCTCTTGATTACTGAGTTTTTTGGTGCCCTCTTAAATTTTGCATCCAAGGTGATTGCTTCATTTGCCTCACCCTGATCCCTGCCCTGAACACATTAGACGGGATCATCTGGAGCTGGAGAGCTGGAATGGAGATTCAGTGATTTTCATCACGCCCAAAGAAAGCAAAGACTGTTTGTGGACATAT